ACAGCTATCAAATCCAGTGATTTGTTCATATCAGAACTAATCAAATGCAACCAACATTTTCCGCAATCTACGACAGCGTTAGTAGACAACAGGAAGTCCCACATCAGTATCACATCAGCTACTGATTCAGAGAGAACTGTAAAGACGACAACATAGTGGTTGACACCGAAGGTCAGCAAGAGGATCGAGCAGCCTAGGGGACAAATCAACTCTCTATTTCTGATACATAAATACCATCCAGCTGCTGGTGTCCAATTTTTGTAAACACTGTCAAATTACAATATTTTCTCGTTAGAACAAAGTCAACGGTATGGCAAAAAAATTTGATAGAAGTGAACATAGTTAGAATTGCGCACAAAAAGAAAGGAACAGTGAAGAGGGAAGAAAGAAGTGGCAATTTGATAAAAGCGAGAGCCCAAAAAACAGCAACAGTAGCCTTGGAAGTGGACAGGAACACTGCAGAAGACTACATATAATTCATTGAATAAGCATGGTGACGAACAACTCGCAACTACTTCACCAAAAAATGAAATAAAAAAAAAACAGGAGTGCAGTTTGCCAATACTTGTTTTCAGGAATCGGTCCTCCTCGAGTTGCTTTAGGCATTCCAGGAGCATTGTCACCGCCGCTGCACTCCTCTTTGTTCCGAAGCATTCGTAGATGTTTCGCGCCTCTGCAGTAGTCCCCAGCCCTGCCCGTTTCAATTTGGATGAGCATCGTACCGGCGTGCGGTCACGTATCCCTACTGCGTGGTGCACGTTAACGACCCCGGTTTAGCGGTTGTACCGCACTGGCCATATCGCTCATCTACAGCTGAGACGCCAGACGCCCACTGAGGCAGACTAACTTCTGGCTGTACAAACATACATAACAATTTGCTTTGTTTGTTGTCGGTATTTTGCGAGGTTCCTTTCAAAAGTCTCTTCATCTTTACCTTAGTTGCACAAAAGGTTTACGATCGCAGCATCGATGGCAGGAGCAACAACGGGAATATCAACAAGCGCAAATGAATCGAAGTTATCCTTAGTGGCTTCATTAAAGTGTTTGCACACACCATTGTAGAGATTGTTGCAGCTCCAGGAGCCACGCGCTGGTTCCGCAAGCATGCGCACACGAGAAAATTCGACGTGTGCAAGGCAGTTAGCTATCTCTAATCTGCAAATAGTGGGTATGTTTTCTCTTGCATGAGAAACTCATCACGAACTAGTCCAGTACGTCTTGCACGTTCTGCAAAATGGTCGACAGTGTAGAACAATTGATGCCGGCTTTCTCTTGCAAGAGAAACTCTTCTCGAACCAGTCCAGTATGTCTGACGTTCTGCAAAATGGTAGACAGTGTTGAACTGTTGATGCTGGAATATTCAATTCCTTAGCGATTTTGGACTTAAGCCGGCCATTTTTCTCAGCCTCACAGATTGAAGCTATTTTTGGTAAACACACCTGTATGTATGGCATAGGCACATGGATTGGGAATTCCCAAAGGGGTGATCTCCTCCAGGCTCCTTCACTTTCTTTACCCAATTCTGACAGGAGCCGGGCGACACGTGCCGCGAGTAGTGTCGGAACATGGACACTACGTACGTCGGCACATTGGTATCGGAAGCGGTGCTCTATTTCCCATCACCCATTGGCCTCGGTGGAGAGGGGTTGGGGGGTGGGGAGGAATGCATGGGTCTCTTGTGCACCTCCGTGTAGACTTGCATGCTTTCGGCACCTCGGCCTTTGTAATACGTGTGGTTGGCTGCCGATACACTTCGAACAATCCAGTTCAAAACGCATGCGTTTTGGTTGGGACTGCATTGAACTTCGATTAAAACAATCTAGTTATAACGAGGGACTACGGTATATGATTTGGCGGCATTTGTGTCTGTATGTCCATCACTTTCAAAGCATCATTGCAAATCTCTAGGAGGAGTGATGGTATGTTTACACTTGCGGATTCGCTAGCGAATCCGCCCAGCTTTTGCCACTGCGGCGGCGAGCCGTATAGGTCCAGGACCTATTTCTGCCGCCGAATGACGAGTTTCGCTGACCGGAAGTGACATACTTGCGCAGTGCGACGCTGCCTACGTCACGGGTACGCATTCTTCCTGTTTGTTTTTGCAACATCATCGAAGCCATCCAGCGTCGCTGGCCTACGAGCGAAGACGAGGACGGAGGCAGCTTGCTTGTCCAGTCCTTTCGCCGCCTCGTAAGCACGGGTGAACCCACCACTGCTGACAGCGACGCTGCTTCTTTGGCGCTCACTGCTCCTCTTCCTCCATCGCAGGCAGGGAAGACGAGAGAAGAATCATTGCAATTTCCCCTTCTTCGTCTACGTAATCATCAATCAGCTTGGTGCCGTTTTTTCCGCTTGGGATGCACCGTCAACATGAAGATCACGCCTAAACAGCGAGACTGGGGGCAGCAACGCCCGAGAGAGACAGCCGAGGTGGGAACTCTCGCGCCTTCTCATCAGACGGGATGTTACGAGAACAGTTGCTGCAGCCGGCACAGCCGCCACCGCCGCTCGAAGGAAATACATGTAAACACAACCCGCTCGCTGCCGCCGCCGCCGGGAGAAAATCCGCTCCCGCGGCAGCAGATTTCTTCTCAGGTGTAAACGTACCATAAATTGGCAGTTTAATACTGCAGCCCAACTTCTCGTGGCAACGCAGGTCAGGCACAGGCTTCAGTTTGACAGAAAGGTGGCATAAGGGGCGACGCAGAGCATGGGTGTTGTCGACGGTAAGGAGACAACGATCAGTCACTGCGGTCATCACGTCACGAAAAGGGAGCTGGGGGTCAAAGAAATGGCCGTCGTCACCGGCAAAGTAACGTGGGCGAGACTGAAGAAAAGGTGATCCTCGTCGACATTCAGGCAACGGCAGCAGTAGCGAGATGCGATTCGGTAAGCAACATTGAGAACAGATGGGTTGCCGATCCCCAGTTCTCTTACGTGGTCCATAGGTCTGAGACGCCGGGGTACCTTACCGAGACGGGCGCTTGGGTAGTAATGTTGCAGTAACGTGGCAGCCGAAGAACTGCTTCACGACAAAGCAATCGGTGGAATGGCCCAAGCAGGTAAAGCCACTCGTTCGAGACCGAAATTGTGGCCATATTATGGACGTTCAGGGGGTGGCAAAAAGCGCAATTGTCCGGCAAGCAAAATTGCTGCATTGTCCTTGGTTCAGCAGAGATTTCGGCTCCCCCTGCTCGGTCCGTTCCACTGGGCGCTACGTCGCAAGGCAGTTCTTAGGCTACCGACCAGCATAGGGCTCCTCGGAGATCACACGCGCATTGCGTTTTGTACAAGTTTGGTGAGCGCAGTAGACGCAGCTGCAAGGAGATCTATAGACTCGTCAAAGTTGAGATACCCCTCCATTGATGTGGGCAGGGGGGGGATATGCTTAAAGGGTCAAAACACCCCCCCCCAATTTTTTATTTTCTTTTGAGGAAAGGAAGACAAATACTGAAGGACTAGCAAATTGTTCAAGCCAGCTGGCGGTTGGGGATGGCCATGCCTGTACGTGTGAATTGTACAGTACAGTCGGCACGGAATGAAACGCGAACAGTGGGTGTATGGTTTTCGCTAGATGCTGCTCCACCTGAACCAGATGGGAGCTGCAAGAAGATGGCTCCTCTTTCGATGTGTTAGATTCTAGCTCAGTGCATCCAAACCTTGGGTGTTGCATCTCTAGGTGACTCAGCGTAGGTCGAAAACCATGTGCTCCATGTTCGCGTTTCATTCCGTGCCGACTGTACATTGACAATCAAGATGCGAAAATGAAGCTAAAACCCCTACCCCCCAAAAAATAATTCTTCTCTGCCAAGCGTAGTTGGTGCACATATCAGGACAAACCAAGGAGGACTATAAAAGCTTACCAGAGTGGAGACGGCACTCTTCTCAGTGAAGCTACCATGCCACGATCTTGCCAAAGGCAGAAGACACACCATGAGCGTGGCTAGTGCGGCAGTTTGTCCGTAAATGGCACTGACAGCAATGCAACTGCATGGTTGGCTCCTGCGTTGCATATGCACGTATACGACCGAAATAAGAGTGTAACAGTTTTACATATATTGCCCATGGCAAGAGCTTCCACCTTGACAGAATATTCGTAACGGTAAACAGAGTGGGAGCTTGCTCGGAGGACCTGCTCTAGGATTCAATACGATGGCCACCAATTACTACCCAGGCTCGAATAAATTGTGGAACTTCTAGAAGGTGGTGCAATATGCTACCTAGGAACACTCACTTTAGATAGTCTACTGGATGGCATCTAAAGGCTGGTTTGAACATAGAAGTGTCCCACAGCTACCTTGATAACATGGCATCAGTGTGTTGTCTTGTCGCAAGGCAAATGGCTGCGACGCGCAAGGCCACTGAGAACACCGAATGTGTAAACTAGCCTTCAGAGAAGAGATGCAGTGGAACAAAAATCTAAAATGCTGCGTAGAAACCTCAAAGTGCTTGGTCGGTCGAGCTGTTCCAGGAGCTAGGGGTTGCAGCAACCAGTACATTCTGGGCTGTGGCTCAAGCCTCATGGACATAGCCTTGCATACCCAAGGGTTTCTGCATTGAAACTGGCCAACAGTTAAAACTGTGCATCTTACTTCAATGAGGAAACTATATCAATGCCTGCAGTTTCTTAGAACACTTGGCTCACCTTGCTGCGCTGAAAAAGGTAGTGCAAAATTTGGTCCCCCCCCCCCTCGATAGAGTTGTCTACCCTCTGACCATTTCAACTTTCCCAACTTCCAGTTTAGACATTCTGCTTCCAGGAGCACATGCATCTCTAAGCCACTCCCATCAATGTTTCTATACAAGGCTGTGGAAGGCAAAGGGAAATTTGCACAAGCATGTGCATGTTACTCATAAAAGGTCAGATGCAGATATTGGAGCCACTATCTGCACAAAAGTTTAATCTTGGGTTACTCTAAGACTAGAATCCAATGCGCTCAAAATCCCGTGAGTTCCCCTCAAAGTTTTTTGAGGGGAACTCAAATAGAAGCTCAAAGCAGTTCAGTGAAAATGAACTTTATTTCATACGGCTTTGGGAGTGTGTACAACACACAGAAGAGAAACATTTAGTTAGCTGAAGCCAATAATAAGACTAAATTTCTCCAAAACAATTCAGAATGCCTATGAAAGAAGAGGGTGGAATACAGCCTTCGGTGTTGCACAAGTGGCTCGAAGTGTTGGAAATCTTTGCCCCCATTGTTTCCAAGATGACCCCTATTGCAGCTGACCGCAATCTGCGATGGCCAGCTTTTTGGAGGTCTTGCCGTTCTGGCTGCCGAAAGACTCCATCTGCTTGTAGACGTCCTGGCCTTCCACTACGGCACCAAAGACCACGTGCTTGCCGTCGAGCCTGCACACAGTAATCAGCACGTGAGGCACGCGGGATATCATGCAGTAACTTGAAACTGCATCAAAAATTAAAAGAAATGCACGAAAGAAGTCTCAAAAGGGTCATTTGGAATGGAGCACCAATTTGGGAGTAGTTGTAATTTCACGATCTTGAGCAGCTTATGGCCTCCAGGTCTAATACCGGAGCATGATGAATGTAGTCAGTTCTCCATTCAGACCCTTACTGGACCCCGAGCTGGGTGGTGGGACCGGGGCCACCCACCGATCTAAGGAGCGTCGGCGGAATCAATGTCCCAGTCTGTCTCGTGTTCAGCCTAGAGTCCCAGGTTCCCTTTCACTGTGGCACGCGCACTTCAAGCGACAATACATCAACCAGCTTCCCCGTCTACGATGGCACGGAGCACCAAGACAAAGATAGTGGCAACATTTGAGAAACACCTTGACACAGTTGTGCCAAGGCCGAACTCTTGACTGGATTGGGAACACCGCAGCCACCTGCCAGCCGGCCGATCTATGCTCATTTTCACCCCTTGGCAAGAAGGTGCAAAGCTGACCGATGAAATCATAAATGATTGCATGGCTCGATCAGAAGGCACATTATGTTTTCTCAATGAGCCATCCAATAACCAACGACTTCAGTAGTAGTCTACAATCATCATGCCAAGAGATGCCGATAAGTAGATTGCCAGGCTGCTGTGGTGCTCCTGTGCGTCCAATCAAACAACTCTTGGCACTTCATGCATGAAGTACTAATGAACTTACATGGAGCATAAAAGCTCCTTTTTGGAGTGCATACTTGATTACTTTTCTCTCGTACTCCATTTTGTTCGTCCCAAGACAACAGGTGCCACTTCATACCTTATTTGAAATCAAGTCTGAGTGCAGGCAGCTAACAGGAAGCACACAGACTGAAGCAAATCGTCCTGGTACACTTTTCACATTTAATTAGATTGGCCTCAAAGAACACTAAAGAGGAAACAAAGCTTCCGACACTGCACTTTGGCGTTGCTTGACTCACGCCATAAGCTCGTAGCAACCGCCGTGTTGCAGGTAGCATAGACATTCCTCCTTCCCCTTTCGTGCACACTACTTCATCTTTTGCTCTTCAGACCTTACATGTATACGGTAGCGACGCTTGGATAGTTCCAGATAAAAGGCAGCACCCTTCAAAGGATGTCGTCACTTCCCCGCACGAAGGGGCTTCAGATACAGTGGTTAGTAACCTAAGAGTATCTGAAGACAGTCAGCAAAACAGCTCTTATCTCCAGCCTTTTTTTCGAGCGCTCAATGACCCGCACACATTGCCTTCTTCCTTTCACTACTGGTGCATCTGTTTACTTAGTTTCCCTTTCAGTACCAAATTTTCTGGAATATGCATGCTTAAAGGCTGTAATTTCACCTGGTGCGGAATACACAAGGATTTCCATTTTTCTAGATTGTTCACTGCGATTAGACACAATGGATTTTATGAATAAGAGTATATTAATATTCATGTGCGAGACAAGAGTTTGTGAGCGAATACAGCAGGCATGTGTCAAAGTGTGCTGTGTACGACAATTTTTATGTTTGGATTAGGCACCATAATTGTTTGCGAAAAAGTGCACCTTCCCAAGCACCTATAGACGCTTTCAGCGAGTCAGTTACTCGAGCTGCCACCAGTCGGCGCGCCCTTCGCGCGCTTTCCGGGCCGCCATAGCCGACCTTCAGTTTCTCGCCGTTGCTCCGCGTTGTGTGCTGCACAGGCCACTACCGGAGCTTATTTTTCGTGTTCTTTTACGTTGCGCATTAAAATCTTGTATTTGCTTTAGGCCTTTTCGATATTTAGAACTTTCATTTAATCATTTGATATTTATATTTCGACATAGCTCTTGTATTTTCTTATTTATGAAATAGAATCGGACAGCGAATGGGTCGACGATACAAGATTATGAGGCTTCAATGACCATGTAAGTTCATCCCATTCTTGCGTTTTTGTCGCTCATAAAGGGCAGTCAACACTATTGCGACATATGTAAATTGCAATTGACGCAGTAAGGCTATGACAGTCGTGCTTCTCGCTGCATGTGCGCGCTAGTTTCCGCGCGACGAGACGAGCGACGGAGGATTCTCACCGTCGCCCGTCGCATCGCTCGGTTTTGGGATTTCTAGAAAACGTCGCTCACCGTCTTGGTCGCTTGCTCCGTCGCTTCCATGCAGTTTGCCTTGTTGCGCGACTGACTGAGCGACAGCGAAGCGGGTCGCCGTCGCTTATCTGATCGCTCGCCAAATCGCTTACATGCGGTTCATACTCAATTAATTTCCATGCACACACCATTGAACCATTGGCGCCTCGATATTAAGTATAAACCGCATGCAAGCGATTCGTCGAGCAACAAGACAAGCGACGGTGACCCGCTTCGCTGTCGCTTGGGCAGTCGCGCGACGAGGCAAACCGCATGGAAGCGACGGGAGCAGGCGACCAAGACGGTGAGCGAAGTTTTCTAGAAACCCGAAAAACCGAGCGATGCAACAGGCGGCAGTGAGAAATCTTCGTCGCTAGCTCTCGTCGTTGTCGCCGTCGCTCGTATCGTCGCACGCTAAATCGCTTACATGCGGGTCGGCTTTACGGAAACGAGCGCGCACATGCAGCGAGAAGCACGACTGGATAGTCAGTTGAAATTTGCATATGTCGAAATGGCGTTGACTGCCCTTCATTAGCGAGAAAAACGTTAGAATGGGATGAACTTACATGGTCTCTGAAGCCATAATCTTGTATCGTCGATCCATTCGCTGTTCCATTCCATTTCATAAATAAGAAAATACAAGACCTATGTTGAAATATAGATATCAAATGATTAAATGAAAGTACGAAATATCAAAAAGACCTAAAGAAAACGCGCGATTTCAACGCGGAACGTAAAAGAACGCGAAAACAAAGCTCCGGTAGCGGCCGGAGCAGCACACAACGCGGAGGAACGGCAAGAAACTGAAGGGCGGCTATGGCGGCAGGGTCACGTGACGTCAAGATGGCGGCGCCCATGAAATGTTGCCTGAAAGGGTCTATAGCATTGAGGAAAGCTTTGCCTGCTTACTCTTAAGAAATCAGACAAGGATGACCTCACACCAAACATGACATCCCCACTGTTGCATAATGGGAGCACATATGGGCAACTTGAGTGAGGAGGCAGGCTAGCAGTTGCATATCCACATACGTGGAACATGTGATTGGCTGAAAGCCAGTTGAATTCATGGCCTTCACGCATTTTTCACGAATTAGTGGCACTTCACGCATTTTTCGGAGTTCATTATCTGAAGAAGTCAGAGCAAGGGTGGCTAACTGCGGCTCTTTGCAAGACCACCTGTGGCTAACGGCTCTCTGGTAAGCCTGCCCTTCCCCCCATCCCTGCACGATTAGAAGGAAAGAGATGTAGAATAAATGACAGTGTGCGTTTTGGCAGCTTTGTGCCACCGCAGCTTGCTGGCCAAACTTTTCAATATTTGGATCAATGAATTGCTTTGAGGTACAGTCAGCACAGAATGAAACCCGAACGTTGTTATGCGTGGCCATAGACACAGGCTGCACCACCTGGAGGGCCCCCGAGAACTAATAAAAATGCGCCAGGGTGTGAGGGCACATCTACTAAGATGTGCTCGACTCTCGCGCGACGCATCTGGGACTTCCACGTTTCGCCTGTGGCGCACTGTAAACGCCGTCACTCGCCGTGCTTTTGTGTCGCCGCACTATCGCCCGGTCGACACCTGCGGCTTACGTGCAGCACGAGAAGATCGATGCTGAGAGAGGCAAGTGTCGACCGGGCAAAAGTGCGGCAACACAAGCAAGCCGAGTGACTGCGTTTACAGCGCGCTACAGGCGAAACGCGGAAGTCCCAGATGCGCTGCGCGAGGGTCAGGCATATCTTGGTAGGACCCCCACCCCGGCGCATTTTCATCTCGGGGGCCTAGCAGAATGGACAATTGGGAGGGTTGGTAAGAGTTCATTATAACTACAGCACGACAAGGAAAAGGACAGACAGAGATGAAAACACAGGACAGGCGCTTGCCCTGTGTTTTCTCCTGTCTGTCCTTGTTGCAGTTGCACTGTAAGTTATAATGATCTCAGGGGCCCTCCAGGTGGAGCAGCCTGTGTCGATGGCCACGCGTTCTGGCTTCATTCCGTGCTGACTGCACTTTGCTCAACGATGTAGGCGGTAAGAAGGAAACAGTTTGAAACACTGACAGACAAATGCCAGCCAAGCTGCTTACGGCTGCAACATCATTGGAGCAAACCTCAAGGTGCTGGTTTCACGAATGGGGACGCACAAATGAAGAAACATGAGCAATCCAGTTATGAGTAAAGTTGGGTTTGGCCACTACATAACCCCCCCCTCTCTCCCTCTTCCTCTTTGAACAAGTTTTTCTGCCAACTGCCGAGCTACGTATAACCTATAAAGTTTTAATTTTTTATGAAAACACCTAGACCAGAACTGTCTTTCAAGCAACCTTTGAATATCAACTCAACTGTTCACAGTTGGTGAAACAACTAAGCAAAGCCCTTACCAGGCAGTCTTCACAGTCGTGATAAAGAACTGGGATCCATTGGTGTTGGGGCCAGCATTAGCCATGGAAAGGATCCCTGTTGGTAGAGATAACAAGAGTAAAGATTTCTCCTCTGTATTCCAGGTCTGGCCTCTTATCCATTCTCGATAAGAATAGCAAGGCAGGTGCCCAGTCCGCCCTCTGTAGCCTAGGAAAGTTTTCCACTTATAGCCAGCTGATAAGGACAGACAGCCAGGCAAACACCAACCATTACATTGAAGTTGCCGAGACGCTTTAGAAATTCCGCCAAAAATCAGTTAAGAGCTACTACATGCAATTGATAAGGTAACATGAATTACTTTTCGAAGAAACAAGTAGGCCCATATTAGCTTGGCATAGGAAGGTGGGACCTTTCCCCCCAAAAAAAAGCTGCTTCGCAAAAAAAAAAAAAACACAAAAAAAACACCAATAACTTTTTTTAAATGAACAGGGCAACTTTGTTTTTGATGAACCAAGACGGTTAACAAAAGTGGGAAGGAAATGAGCCACTCTTCAAACATACCTGGTCCGGTGTGCTTCAGGATGAAGTTTTCATCTTCAAACTTCTCGCCGTAGATGGACTTGCCGCCCGTGCCGTTGTGCCGGGTGAAGTCTCCTCCCTGGCACATGAAGTTAGGGATGACTCGGTGGAAAATGCTGCCCTTGTAACCGAAGCCCTTCTCGCCGGTGCACAGGGCGCGGAAGTTTTCTGCAAGCAGGAAGGAGAGACACGCCGGCGCGCGAAGCCAACGAGGTCGCGGGCGTCACAAACAAGTTCCCCCCGTACGCGCAAAATGCCATTAATAGGCATCGGACGAGCTCCTAGGCCTAACTTACCGGCAGTTTTCGGGACGACGTCGGGGCGAAGCTGCAACGGACAGATTGGAGAAATTAGGTACCGAGGCAGCAATGTGGTCAGTGCGCAAAGCGTGCGCGAGCTTTCAGCGTGGCTAGCCTCGCTAGGCTTAAAAAGGCGCACTCGCAGAAAAAAACAAAATCATTCCAAAAGGAAGGTTTCCGGCACCTCACCCACTTCCTCGCTGGCAAATGCAGCCACTCGCGTGTTGAAAACGTCGTTAATAACTACACCCACGGTTCAAAATACTGGTTATGGGGGACGCAATGCGAACCGTTTTATAACGCTTTGTTGAGAAGCAACGCTAACCTATAATAAAAAAAAAAATAATAAAGAAAAATGTAGGCCTAAACACACATCCCCCCGAACACCGCTCACGCATGCGAATTTATCAAATAAACGCCGAGCCCCAAACTTTCTCGGACACAATATCAACGCCAAGAAGCATGCAAAATGAAGTAGGCGCCAGAAGCACACGCATAGAAAAAAAAAAAAAAATATTCGGCGGTTTGCGTCAGAACTTGAACTACTGCAACGGGCCACGCCACATTTTGAATCCCGTGCCCTCGCCGGCCCGCATCAAAAACCACCTGCGGTATCTTTAGCTCGCTTAAAAATAACTCACCTCCATCACAATCCTGCCGAGGGGAGCCCCATCAGCAGTCACGTCGAAAAACACACGGGGGTTGGACATCTTGTCGGCGGCTGTCGCGAAGCTGCAGCTCAGAGGCAGAATGGGCACTCGCAAAATGCCGGCTTTCGGGCAGAAAAAGCGGCTGATGGCTATTCGCACGTGGGCCATTATATACGGGCTGCTAACGAGAGGTCAAAAACTATTATAACAACGATTTCAAAGACGATTTATGCTGAGAATATCAGAACGTGACGAAAACTTATTTTAGCGATCTTATAAAAGCCATAAATATTCTTACAAATATTGAAATTGGTTTCACCGAGGAGCACTATTTTCCACTGCGTAGTGACCTTTTCACCTATCCGCCGTGCCGTCAACGGGTGCTCCCCGTGGCTCGTGTAGCGAGTACTTTTCCGTTCAAAAGTTGTTTAAGCGTAGGATAGATGGCGCCACATCCCAAGGTTTCTACACCGGACACTCGAGAGAGTGGTGAATTCCAGGCGGTTGTCCAGCAGGCGAGTTTTTCGGGAGGAGCCATTACTGTAAAAGGACATCCTCGGTCTCCGGTCGACAAGCCACTTCACCAGCGAACGTATCGAATTCGAAGCGCGTTCCGCGGCACACTTCAGCAGAACAGCAAATACTTTGACTGAAGTAGCTGAATTATAGCAAATACTTTGGAACAATTTCGGGGAATTCAGTCAGAGCTCATCCTCTCCTCTGTTTTTTACCAAAGAAAAACAAAATTATTCAATTTATTATAAAAAAGCCTAAGCGCTTGTTTGTATCAGCCACCTTTTTATTTTGTTGTTGACTTCGTTGATAAATTACACGTTTTGCTTATTATTGCGTTATTTTTGTCTGAGCATTCTTCTTCCCTTACATTGTTTTGGGGCGCGGTTGGCCCATAACTTGGCAAACGGCGAAAGATACGGCCGCATTGAGCAGTGGTGTCACAAGGGGGGTGGGGGAGGGGGGGGGAGGGGGCGGACCGCCCTAGGTGCAGCGCTCAGGGGGGTGTCGGGGGGGGGGGGGGGGGGGGGCGGGGGTCGTGTCGCGTAGGGTTACCGCCCCGGGTGCCATTGACCCCAGTGACGCCACTGCCATATTGAGCCCATCAGAGCTTCGGAGCGGAACACGTGTGACAAGGTTGTACCCGAAGGGGGGGGGGGGGGTGTTGGTTTTATATTTCGTGTCATTGTTACGTAACTACGGCATCACAGGCCTCCTGGTATGGGGCTTCTCACCTTAATTACTCTGTGCTGCAACTGTCGTGTGTTGATTATTATTATTATTACTATTATTTTGTCAGTGCACGCCGCCTACGGAGAGCTGCCGCGTGTTTCGCACCGTCGCTGTAATTAACCGAAAAAAAAAAAACGTAATAGTTTTTTTTTACAAGTTATGTTGAAACGGAGTATAGGTAACTGGGAACTTTTTATATTTGCTTTCTAAATTTCATATGACTCATCTAGTTGTAAGCATTTATTAGAAACTCTTCGATCAAACACGCGTTCAGGGCCGGTCTCTTGCGGTATGAAAGGGAACGAAAGAGAGAGAGAGCCAGAGAGAGATAGCCCTTACTGCCGAGAAGCAACACTTTCAGTATTGTCGTTTCGTCGTGCCATACTGGAAAAGGGGGACCGGACGGGCAGCTCAAGGGCCTTGAGTCTAAGTGATGTAGATAAATCGAACGAGAAGCAATACCAGCAAACGTAACACACACACACACACACACACACACACACGCACACGCACACGCACACGCACACACAGACACAGACACACACGTGCAATCAATCACCACGGGCACACACACACACACACACACACACACACACACACACGCGGAAGCACGCACGCACGCACGCAGAAGTACGAAAGTGTTCTTAAGTGATAGCAAAATTCTCTTTATATAAGAAAAAGAGAGAGAGAGATTATGTTGATGATGATGATGATTATTGAAAGCCCCAATTGTTAGCATGACTAGCCGGCTATTCTGCACTGAGGGGAAGGTGATAAGGAGAAAAATAATTGTAAGATGAAATGAAACGAGGTAGGAAATATAAACGATGATGAGGTGATCAGACTACCGTTATCTCGAGTGTTAGCCCCGTGCCCCACAAAAAGTCAATCGAGGTACTTGTTGCCTTGGCGCTGGACAGATACTCAGACGCTATACTCGGTGCCGCGCCGAGTACATTCTCAACTGCAAAAGATATATCATCGACATTCGATACGACTATCTGACGTATCTGACTCTCGCGGGGGTGCCAAGAGTACATACATCGACGAGCTGTTCTGTGGTTTCTAATGAGCTGCAAGGTGGGCATTTCGAAGTGGCGGCTTATCAGAAGAAACTCTCTTGAGAAGGCTACTCCAAGACATATATGTAGATTTTGAGTTCTATTCGACGAAAGGAACCTGAGTGAGGTATAGTGTTGGTATGCAGGTAATCGAGGTGAACGCAAACCCTGGCTTGACGAGGTAATTCGCGATTTCGAAGTATCAGCGCCAAACTATACCACGGTAAGGAAATATATAGGGGAGCGCGCGGCGGAGTGTTGACTATTGTTATTAAAAACAGCATAAACTTTGATCACGCTCCTCGGAGCGACTGTGTGGATAAAGATACTCTCATCGATTGGTCGTGTCGCAATCAGGGCTACCTACCGCGGACCTCTGATTTCTTCGACACTAAGTAAATCCGTGGTATCAATAAAAAAAAAACGCTGCCCTAACCTTACTGGCTGCTCGACCTCCCGCACATTGACTGGGTCAACAGCAGGTAACTGCACTCATATTGACATATTGGCGGACATCGTTTTCTGCAAAAACCTAGTGCAGCTAAAATGACCCACGCGGGTATTCAAGGCGGTACGAGCAACACCCTGGGCCTGGTATTCGCTACGGGCAATATTAATGGCCACGACCACTTATTTCATTAACTCCGTATTTCAGGAGTTAATGGTAATCGTTGAATTAAACACGCCCTTTTGTTAACCCAGGCAAGCTAAATCCACATTGATTTATGATTTCTCTAAAGCGGACGACGTTTGCATAGTCGATTCTCTGGATGAGTGCTTCAGTGCCTTTGAGACCTTTAACTCGCACTGTGCGGGTGATGTTAATCAGTATGCGCAACGCTGAGGCGCCAATGGTGTAGTAATGATATTTTACCACGGGGACACCTAAATTTTTGAGCCGCTATATATCCTAAGATTATCTTGAAAATGGAGTAAGAACAGTAACCGTAAGCTTACTGGCCAGGAGCCCATTGTAAGATAGCATGACCTCCCAGACAGGTCAGGCTGAACTTAGTGTGAGATATAATGCGCTAGGTGTAAAGTATATAGTCAACCATTTTTTATCGAAGGAAAAGCAGAAGGTGCCGGGTGACAGTCGACGAATATTATCCAGCACCGAGGGCTTTCAGGCCACGTCTGCAACAGCTGCACGAACTGCTGCAAGCTCTGTCGCTTTGTGATAAAGTGACGTGGCTAGGTTTGCCTTTCCTAATGTACACGTAGAAAAATACTTTCATCCCCATGACTGATGATGTGGGCATTGTAGAACCGTCGGTGTAGATGTAACAAAACGATAGATGTATTCCATGCATATTTATTTATTCATTCAAGACACCTCAAAGGCCTCTTCGGCATTACATGAAAAAAAAGGGTGGGGGGTTGTGCAGTTTTGTAAAATGTTTGCACAAAACAAAGATAAATTCAATGCACATCAGTAAAAAAAAAAAAAAAAAAAAAAAAAAAAAGCCGACACTTCACGTAAACAAAAATAGATAGTTATGGAACTGAAGCGTTTAGCGCAAGTAAATGTAACTAGGATTCCGTGTTTTCGGAGTTAATTTTTCGCTGAAAATTTGGGTTTTCTCGGCGTTTATTTTTTTTAGATTTTTATTTAACCGGAATTCAGAGTTTAATATTGCTGTTTCCACATTTTCATAATTGAATATATATATATATATATATATATATTCAATTATGAAAATGTGGAAATATATATATATATATATATATATATATATATATATATATATATATATATATATATATATATATATATATATATATATATATATATATATATATATATATATATATATATGGGTGGTTTCATCTCAAATCGTGCAGGCAAAAAGGGTCGAATTTTTAATTTCAATGAAAAAAATATATGTTATGGCGCCGTTTCTAAACACGCAGTCGCCACAAACCGCAAGTTCGTCGGATTTTTTCTTCTCGACTTATGAATTTTTAAAGAGGCCGCGGCGAAAAGCAGCGTTTTTCACACCCGTCGTGGGTCGGATGTTTCGCTTGATCTCCCGCCCTGGATTTTCAGTCCACATTATATTATATTTTTTCAAGCACTCTGTGGACACATTTAAAAGGCTCCAATACCATAAAATAATTTTAGGCGTTTTGCTTTTGTTTTGTAAAAATGTCAAAAACGCCCCCTCGGTCAATTGTTGACGAAGTTTGACAATTAATTACTGGCGATCTACTTGGGTTACATCGATAATTTTTATGTCCACGGAGAGCCCAAAACACGTTCTTTATATGTATTATAAAATAACTCGGCTGTATAAAATATTCTTTTCGTTACGTTTACGTTAATGTTATCTGAAAACCAAAAAGTACCATTTTTGAAATTGATTTTCTAAAAAAAAACATTTTTTTATTTTTTTTTTGTTTTTTGTTAAAATGTAGATTTGATAGTTTTCTACGCGAAAATTAAGTCGAGAAAGTGTATATTTTGTTTGTATGTTCGACATTTAAGCATCAATATCGTACAAAAACGTGTTTTTACGGCTCGAAATGGACTTGCGAATTGCGCGTCTTCACAAGCTTGGAAATAGTTTTTTCTTTTTTTCAACGTTCCCACATAAAAATGAAATACAGTATTTCCACCCTGTTATATTTATTGATTATTTAAATTTTATTATAGGCGGCAAGCTACATCGGAGGAGTTCCAAAAAGAGAAAGCAACACTTCTTAACAGACCAGCAGGTGTCGTTAATTTTTTACGTGTAGGAGTCGGTAGACGTCATATTGATTCGGGGCCCTCATTGACCTGCATGAACGTCCCGCCCTTTCGGAGCCAGCAGATGACCACGACTTTTCGCGCTCGTTGTGTTAGATGGGACGGCCCGTGACAGTAAAGCGAGCAGCGCACCATGTGTCACAAGGAGTGAAATGGTACGAATGTGTCGTTGACGCGGCGAACACCTCTCTCCGCGGAGATCCGATAGCACCGAAGGTTTATCCTTTTTGGAAACAGCAAAGTCCGGAGACTGACGTTAAAAACGAGCGTGTTGGTAAATATACTTGTGTTTATTCTGCCCGTAGACTAGTTGGGTCGAATTCAGCCTCCTTGTCA